TACTATGTAATATCTGCATAATGAATAATAAAGGAACTGAGGAAAAGACCTCACTTAAAAAAAAAAAAAAAAAAAAATATATATATATATATAGTTATAGTTAGGGAAATTAATTTGAACAATTAATTTAGTAATTGAGGGAAAGATAGTATAAATAGCGAAGGGTGAAAGTAATCAAAGGTTTCTTTTCGGAACAGAATTAGGCATAACCAATATTTTATTAAATAAACTAAAATAACATGCGTCCCTTAACCACTTTGTAGCGAAGCTCTATTTTATCTGATTAGACATTTAGAGAGTATATCTACTTCTAATTAATGCTGTGATACTGGACTATAACTGGACTGAATTAAGTTGAATTGAACTACTCAGTTATTTAAAACTGATGAATTACAGTAGAACTGAATGGACTAAGTAGCTAGTAGACTGGGCTTTGTCTCAAGTACCTAACCTGAAATATTATTCTTTTTAAAAACTAAAACAATGTTCGAATAATTTTTACTTGTGTGATTTTTACATTTTAGAAGTACTTTCAATTGACGTACATTTTTAATCAAATTTCTATATATTCATGAAATTTAAATTGCATATAACTAGTAAGAATTGTTTTTACTAACACATGATCATAAATGAAGCTTTTAAAGAAGTTTTTAAAGAAGCTATAAATCTAGTTACATATAAAGCATCTAAGATTTTTTTAATGCAATATTATAGATATTGAACTTATTATTTATTTGAACAAGTTCATACATTGTGACCTCTCAGATTACAAATCTTGCATTTTCTCTTAATGCTAGTTTCTTCAAAATTATCATTTGAATTATCATTTGAATTATCTTCTGAATTACTAGATTTAGCCAAATTTGGACAAGTGCATGCATTATAACTTTTTGAGTTGCAAATTCTACATTTTTTTACACCTTTTCTATCACTAACATTACTAGTTTTTCCTATATTATAAACAAACCCATTAAACTCCAATAAACTACACTATACAATTCACAATACTAATAATATATACATACCTAGACTATGGTCACTATGGTCACTATCAATATTATCATTGTCTACTTTATTATGTTCGATTTGTTTTCTTTTATTTTTGCTCTTCGAAACATTTGTATTATTATTAAAATCTTTGATTCTTTTTGACTTTCGACCTTTTGTTTTAACACTTATAGGATTATTTATAATACGGGCGAATTTTTTAGAATCGTTATTCTTAATCTGATTATTCTCTGTAAGTTCAAGTTCTATTTCTCTAGTAAGGTTTTCATGCATTTTATAGAGTTCTTCAATTCTATTCGTCATGATTGCCAAATTTAATGTCTTTTTCATTATTCCAAATCCTCTTCCCCATTGTTGTCGATGAATTATTTCATGGCGAATTGATTTGCTAAAAACATGCTTTCAACGAATTTGTTCTAAATAAGAAAAATCAACTTCTAAATCATATTCAGGCACATCCGATTGGTTATTTAAGCCTGCTGCAATTGCTGGTTCAAGAAATACTGAGATATCTTCAACTAATGCATCTAAGTATACCATCATTGTAGTATAAGTCTAATATGAAATTTTACAACTTTTAAAAGTAGTATTATTGCAAAAAAATGTTGACACACAAGACCATAGTTTATTAAAGTTAAACATGTACAAAGATGCATATTATTATCATAAAGTGCATACTTTTTTGGTCTATTGAGGAAATATACCAAAGTTTACAAATTTTGTTCAATCAAGACTGTTAATTAGCTCTTTTAGCTCAATTACCCTCACATCAAACATGTCTTCAGAAAACATTTCTAGTGGCGAATCAGGGATAGTCTATAAAATATACAAATATTAGAGTACGTACTATATTACTATTCTTTATTATTTCATTCTAATTATGTATAATTTCTCATCTGTTGTTCAAGCTCATTTTCATTAACTATATGACACCGATAATATATACTATGATTAACTTCATTTTGTTAAAGTTTTAAAATTGCTGGCATTAAAAAACGCTGACATGACATGTCAACCATATTAAAATATCTATTATAATATTGTTCTCTATTTATTGGAAGTTGATCTATAATCTCATTAAGACATAAAAATCGACTTTCTTTCTCTAACAATTTCTCAATACTTTGTTCAAGTTCTAAGACAGATGATAATCCATTAACACAGTTTTTAATTTTAGCATTGTAAGACTCAACACGCTGTGTACTTTGCATACCAGCATTGAATGCACAGTGTGTAAAGTACAAAGCCCAAGCCTCTCTGTAATGATACTGCAAATAATTTGTAGCATTGGTATATTTTTGTAAAAATATAGCTCTTTTTTTTTTTTGAAAACTGACTCTACATGACTGTTATATACATGGAAAATCTGTAAAAAACTTTCCATATTTTTATAATATTTACCAATAAAAATAAATGTTTTTCTAAGTTTTTTCGAATATGAAATAAGCAGAAATAGTGTTTTGTTATAGCTAATGAATTGCTAACTGCTGCAATTATTGCAGGATTAGCATCTGTATAGAGCAAATGTGGAGCCAAATTGCTGGTTGCCTTAAGAATACTTGTAAATAACTATTCATAAGTTTCTTTTGTTTTATCAGATACAATAGCTGCTGCTGCAAGGCGGGAATGGTTGTGATTATCCACAAGTATCATAATGCATAATATCATTGAGTGGCAATTAGTTTTTGCAGTAGAATCTAAAAATACCACGTCATGAAAGTGAGCCCACAGCTGCTGCTGGCCTGGGCTCATCCAACAGAGCCTTGTAAGGTGATTGTCCTTGCCTTCAAACTGAATATTAATGTAAAAGGTAGGATCTATTAGCTGTTTCTTCACAAGTTCAAGGTACAAAGAACCAGCATCACTTATTTCTCCATTTTTACAATGGATTGATTAAATCAAATTATATACATTTCATTCATGAATATACTTGTCTGGGAATTTTTTTTACAAAATCTCAATTATCGCCCCGGCATGCACTCCACAACTTACAAGAAACTTTATTTCACTTCTCATTTCTAAAGTAAGCTTTCGATAATGTGTTGCGACTATATTTATATTATTTACAAGCACATGATTATATTTACCATCAATTTTTGATATATATATCTTATTATCTTTGTGCCAATATGCATTGATATAAAATGTACAGTCAATATTATAGTGGCTACTATTATAGTTATTAATAGTATGTGCATCTTTTCGAGATACATATGGTCGACCCTTCATATATCTTTAAGTACAGCGCTGGGAAAACCTATCTTCTTTGTTTCTTTCACTACAGGTAATTGTAAATGCAAATCCTTTTTCTAATCCATGATTATCAAGCCATCTATCAAGTTCTTCCCATTTAAAAAACTCTTATTTAGTTAAATAGAATATCGTGACTCGGAATTTCTACTATTATCTTGATTTTCATGAGCTTCATTTGCATTTAATAAACTAATAGATTTATCTAAAGATAAATTTGAGAGGTTTTCTGTGCATCTTATAGGTTCATTGTCCCTTTTACTATTAATTTGTTCAAAAAAAGTTTCTGGGTTATTTGACTCAAACATATTAAGAAAATTCTCCATGTTACCAGGCCCAAATGTATTAAAAAAAGCTTTCAGATTATCAGAGTTGAATGCATTAAGAAAGTTCTCCGAATTACCAAAGTTGAATGCACAAGAAAAATTATCTATGTTACCAGGTTCAAACATCAAGAGATCAAATGTAAAAAAAAAAATTTAGCCTACAAGCTTCTAAAGCACCAAAGTCGAATATACTAAAAAAAAAGTTCATCCACATTACTAGATCTAGCATTGAAAAAATTCTTTGTGTTATCAAATTTGTAATTTTCAAGTTCAAACATGCCATTAGGATCAACTAAAAAAAAAGGGTCACAATCTACTTCTAAAGCTCCAAAGCCTAATGCACTGTGAAAAAAAAATAAATTTAACTGCATTACCGAATTCAGCATTAAAAAAATTCTCTGCATTACAAGACTTGTAATTTTTTATGTTTTTAGGTTCCAATACACCATTGGATATCAAGAGATCAACTGCAAAGAAAAAAAAATATCAGGTTACAATCTACTTCTAAAGTGCCAAAGTCAAATACACTAAAAAAAAAATTTTTATTTGCATTACCAGATCCAGTATTGAAAAAATTCTCCGCATTACCAGATTTATAATTTTTTGTATTATCAGATTCAAACATGCCATCAGATATCAAAGAATCAACTGCAAGAAAAGGTTACAATCTACTTCTAAGGCACAAAGTCAAATACACTAAAATTTATCTGTATTACCAGATTTAATATCAAAAAATTTTCTGTATTTCTAGATTCACAAATATTTTCTGTGTTACCAGGTTCAGACATGTAAATGATATCAAACAATCAACCGCAGAGAAAAGAGAATCAACGATTTAAGATAAAAAAAAATTTTATTGCAAAATAAAAAAAAAACAAAAAATCAGATTCGTAGAAAAAAAGTAAATAAAATAAATAAAATTTTATTAACACCACTGGCGCTTAACACCATAGTGATGTAATAAATAAAATAAATAGATTTTTACTAACACTACTGGTGCTTAACACTATAGTGATGCAATAATTATTAATATAATCACATGATGTTCTGATCTAATTTCTGACACTGGCATTGAACACCAGTGGTGTATATTAGTAAAACTGTTTTTTTTATTTAAAAGCTTTAGATTTAAATAATCTTTTATATAATTTTTGGCTTTGTATCTTATTTATTTAGCTCAATATAAAATTTCAAAAAGTGTTCATAATAATATAGTAGATTTCATCTAAAGCCAACATATTTTATATATAGACACCAATTTTTTAACTGTAGTATAACCTAATTGTCTAATAAAAATGCAAAAAAACTTAATGCAATTTTAATTTTATTAATAAACTTTAAAATTTTGAAATATTTTTTTATATATAAATGCCAAATTTTTAAATTATCTGTTATATATAAATTTAAATTAATATAACTTTTTAAAAACAGAAGACATTTAAAATTTTTATTTTATTTTTTTTTAAGTGATCCTGTTTTTATTTATTTGAACTACTATGTGATACAATAAGTGCCGAAATACCTTTGATCTCTATAGCAAATGTACTAGTCTAATAAAAACTCACCAAATGTACAAAGTACTACCCAATGCGACCCGCTAAAACAACTGTTTGTCATCACAAAGGGATCCAAAACTCGCTTCAGAT